AGTGGGAGCAGAGATGAAGCTTGAATTCTGATAAAGCAGCTCCCCAAAAATAAGTGGACTTGCCATTCTAATTTAACACAAACAAAAGGAAACATACAACTGTAAACTTTTACGTTGCACCTTTGTGTACTGGTATAAGTAATGAGTGAGTCATTGATCTGGTTACACCACTAAAAGTGTGCCTGTTTTTGTAAAAAAAAATTATCAACTCACAAGACACGGTGAAAGATTGTTGGGGAAGCTGAACGAATCAGTGAAAGCCTGTTGGTGCAATGACATGGTGACTGTATCTCTGTGTGAACAAAAAAGCAAAAGCAGGCAAAAGTGAAAGCAATGGAGGCAATGGAGGAGGAGGAGGAGTTACTTTTTAATGGAGAACTTTGGTCAGACCATGCTTGGCAAAATATGAACCCTGTCTGAATTTTAATGAGTTTGAACACTGCTTTATGCAACTGCCCCAGAGATTTGAAGAGCGCACGACAATATTTTGTTATCTGTGGAAACTGGTTAGTTTGGAAAATGCAGAATGTATCAAAAGGTCGTGATCAAAAATATGCTCATTGATCATCATCTCTAGCCATAAAACACGCAATTCGGAGTGCATCCACTTTGCACATTAAACATACACTGAAAATACCCGAACCTCTTGACTGTAGGCTTAGGTATTTTAGTGCATTTCCATCCACAGAATCATGAGCTGTTTTAGAAACGTCAGGGGATCCATCAGCAGCTATTTTATCCACCGTAGAGGGGGGAATCGTGCCCAGCAGCTGCAGGCATCACAGATAGATGCATGAAGGAGTTCAGCTCAACAGCCTCTGACAGTAACCCTGTCTTGTTCTTCTCACTGTATCCTAATGAAGCCTCACTCACTGTCTATTCTGCCCTTGTCAGCACTTGTTAACCTACACATTGATTTCTCCGCACTACTGTGCATCTCTTTTAATTAAAGACATCACCTAATCTGGCGTTGCACCAAGAAGTATTTGTGTCTGTGCAGCTGTCATTTCAAGATGATTAAGGCTAAATATAGCCTAATACATTTACATGTATTGATGAAATGAGCCACAGGATCACCGGAGGAAGGGAAAAAATGTTCTTTGACTTCTGCTGAGTCTCTATGACTTTAAGTTTGAAAGAAAAAGTTTCTGTGTACAAAAATCACCTTCCTCATCATCACATAAAAATACTGAAAATGCACTAAATATTTTTCAAAGATCAAAACTACTTGTGTTTTGTATGTCATCATCAATCATTGCATAGAAATATAAAACAGATAAATATGGAAATTTAAAAATTAAATTTCATCACATTTAAACCACTGTTTTAAAAAAAAAAAGCCTCCAAAGTCTTTTCGTAAAGATCGACTGAACTCTCTGTTGAATTGGAATGATCTTTTGAATTATCTTCCTACAAGTGAACATACTTACCATGAATTTAAAGGAAGGAAAAGAAAGCTGTTTGATGACTAAAGAATTTCATCATGTTGAAGGGTTGGAATATTGACATCTGTTCACACAATCGGAGAAGACGAAGACACATTTCTTTCTTGGTTTGGCCAAAAAAATTACATGGCTGCTAACATATTAGACAACATATTATTATCTCCCTGAGGTGTCTTTTTTGTCTCCTGGAAACAAACTGCAGCATTAGCTGCTGCTGATGATTTACATGCACTTCATGAATCACAATCTCTGGAACTAATCATTTAAAAGCACTGATCAGCTAAGCTGTATTTAACAATAATCAAGAAATCTCCTTGGAACACTCAAAGGTTCAGCCGAAATAATTCGATTTAATAGGGGCTCAAAAGTTGAAATGGTGCTTTATAAAGAAGGTGTTAAAACAGTTTTTGCCTTATAAATATGGTTTTTATAAGAATCATGAGGGGACAACATAAGGACAAACAATATAGTAGGTTTTCATACAACACAAGACATGTTTAAGTGACAGTGGAAGGTGCTGCGTAAAAATGAAAAGCCATTGGAAAAAAAGGGCCCATTCCAGCATCGATCACTTTTATGCCCTCGGTCTGTTTGCATATTTTAGACCTATAAACAACATGAATGATGTGCCGTGTAATGCACTATAATCAAGATTTATTCAATCATGGGCAGAGGTGGTAAGGACGGGAGATGTTCACAATCAAAGAATCAAGAAGGGCTGTGACTGTGTGTGTGGGTGTGTGTGCGTGCGTGCTTGTCCATGTGAATGTGTGTGTGCGGCCTGTGATTTATTTGATTTAATTAGATCGGCGATGTAAAACAGCTCGCAGGAAGAAAAAAAGGTAAAAACGACTGCCATGGGAGGCATAAATAAAACCAGGCTCTTTTGCCTTTCTCTCCTCTGTTTTCCTCTTTTACTTTCAACTCTCTGATCTCTCTTTACCCTGGTCCAGGCTCTCATTTTGTATCCATCTTCTGTTGCCTCTTTTTACACCCCCCCCACTTTCTGCCTTTTGTGAGGCTGAAAATTAGATCGCATCTTACATCTTTCGTCTACCTTGTCCTCCCCCGCTCCACCTCTGTCTCCCTCTGCTGTGCTCCCAGCTGAATAATGATATGGGGTAAACACCTCATTAGACTAAAAGGCCCACAGGAACAATTAGAGACATGGAAAGCCGTCAATTCTGTTAGTCTCTGAACATTCAGAAAAAAATTTGATCGCAGCAGGACGAAGGGGCATCTCAAATAGCTAAGAGGTAGTGGGAGGGCTGAGTCATTCACTGAAGTGGTTATTTCAAATCAGATGGTCAGCAACAAGATCTACCTGCACAATTTAAGGTGTGTGTGTTTGTGTGTGTGTGTGTGTGTGTGTGTGTAGAGTCTTTAACACTTTAAATGGCTGTTTCTCTGCCTTTTATTGTCATTGAGGAGTGAAATCATACACATACATAAATTCACAGATGCTGATCTACTGGGTTAGAAGCTGAAAAATAGAATAATAACTCTAAATTTATCATTTCAAATGCTCAATAAGTCCTACACTGCGGCTACGAACCCCCTGCACCATTTAAGTACCATCACCCACCTTTATCTTCACATCTACACAGCAGTCTGGTGGTGGGCATCACAACAAGAAGGTTCCTGGTTTGAATCTCAGCCGGAGCCTTTCTGTGTTCAGTTTACATCGTCTCTCTATTGTCTCATGAGCCTCTGCCAGTAACTGTGATCTGAGTATGTGTGTTCATTTTCGTTTGTCTTGTTTGTCTCTGTGTTGGCCCTGCGATGAAATGATAACCTTTCCAGGGTACATGGCTGCTCTTTAGCAATAGTATCTGGGATAGGCTCCAGCACCCCGTAGCCTTTAATACAATTAAGCGCTTCTATGAGATGTACTGTTTGTTTTTTTTTCATGCTGTTTCACTCAGAGTAACTATATTCTATTCCGCTTTCAGTTGTTTTTTGTAACTCATGTATCATCTTGATAAAAAAGTTATTCTTCCAGGTCGGTGATGTATTGTGTGGTTCTTTCAGATAGCTGGAACTTTTTCCTTGTTTCCCTACTGTGTGTCCTCACTACAACTAAATGTAGCTCATAGATGGCCTGTTTAACTCAAGTCTCTTAAAAGGGAACACCTGCAGCCAACAGGGAACACTTACAGGTCTTCAGTGACAGTCATTTGTCTAAAGGCAACAATAAAGGAAACAAACTTTTAAACAGCAATAAAGATCCCACGTGCAAACGATAGTTGTAACCTCAGGCTTAAAGCAGTAATCACAACACAGATTAATGAGTGACAGTAAGACTTATGGTGTACTGAGCCAATATCCCATGGAGAAATTACATACATCTCATGGAAGTGTGAAGAACTGTAAGAGTGGTAGTACCTCTCTCCCTCCAGCCCTTGCCAATGTTACAGTTTAATAGTCCTGGGTTTGAAGGATTTCCTGAATCTGTCCACAGAGTATTTTGTTAAAAGGTGTCATATGTGTCCCTAGATCTGGCCAACAACATTCTGGATACCAAAAACTGAGCAACTGAAAGCTGTTTTCATCTCTGCGGTTTAAAAGCCCTTTGTAAATTTCTGTTGGCCCATGTAGTGATCTTTATGTAAAATGGTTTCCTGCGGCACAGGGCATAGATCATCCATCAGCTGAAAAGATTGTTGACTTCCATTATATTAATCTCAAGTGAAAGTGTTTGTTGCCGAAGTATTAAACCCCACATTGCCCACAGTATCACTGGTAAATTGTTTCAGATGGAAGCATCCAGCAATTGATTGGATTTAAAGGTACTGAAGCAGAGCGGGCAGAAATTATTTCATGTAGTTCCCAAAGCTCAAAACTGTAAGGAATTGTATTACTCTGCTCACCTTTGAAAAAAGAGCCTTTTTTCTTTTTTTAATGTAACAGCTTTTTAAATAAGTTTAGCGTTGACATCTTATTTTAGAAGCCGGACCCATTTACATTTTTGTGTATAAGTGGCACCCTGTTTCAGGTCAGCTGATCTGTAAAAACCTCATCCATGCCACAGAGTTAGGAACACAGCCGTTTGTATAATCTATATGAACATTGTTAGAAAACCTGAATGGTTAACAGAGGTTAATAGTGGCCACAGTTCAAAACAACTGTGATGCCTGCTGCTTCATGCACTGCTTCACTAGCAGTAATAAAGCATGATTTTAGACAAACTTGAGCTTCGTCATTTATAAGGCGCGTGCCAGTCTGCGCACGGATTCCCTCTCTGTGCTCAATTAGAGCAGCATAGTTTTGTAAAATCTATTAAGCAAAATGCTTTTATCCAAGATTGGATTTGTGGATTGATTTTTTTTTTTTAAGTAATGAGGCCTATGTGCAGGACATGCTTTTACAAGTAACATCTCACTGAAAGACTCAAGTAATGCCCCCTCAATACAAACTGTTTTCTAAACGTTGATTAAAAAGTGTAAAATCAAGAATAAAGTTAAACACAAAAACAAATGAATACATTTTCCAGTCATCATTGTAAGGTTCATTGAGGGTTTCATTAAAAGCAAAAAACTCAACATTAAGATGTCTTCATTTTCTTCCAAGCTGGAGCCTAAAAATAAGAAGAGGCAAATAAGATAATCAGCCAGGCTGTTAGACATTAGGTTTAAAAAAACAAAGATTATTTCTCAGCTGCAGTGTCATTTGAGTAAACAGTGAAATTTACTGTACATGGAACAACAACTTGAGAAATGGTAGCTATTACCAGAACAAGACTCACAACAAAAGATTTTCTCCATGCTAGAGCACATAGACACATGTGCAACATCACACAAATACATAACAAAAAGTATATTTGATCAAATTTAAGACGTCACCACTATTGTCACTGTTTGGCACTTATTTAATTTTCGGATCTAAGAACGTCCATCAAATTTATTCGAGAAAAAAAAAGAACGAAGAGGTCTAATTTTTTAAGATAAATCATTATCCATAAAACATTCAACAATAATTGATATAACAATAAATATTCATGAAAAAAAGGCTTTCTCCACCATTTGAAATGAAATGTAATGACCCTCAGACTGAACCTTTTACACCACTCACCTTTCACTTGTGAACTTTGACACACGCAGAGCTCTGAGATCTCCTGGTGGTCGTGACGGGGGCGTGAGTGTTAATGGCGGCGTGGGATGTAAAAGGCCTAGGGACCACACACGGGGCGCCGTGGGGACTCAGAGGGTTGCTGAGCGTCACATTGAAGGTGCCTTTCAGTACTGTGTTCATAACACTTGGACTCAACTGGATAACAGAGCAGAGAGATGACAAAAGGTCAGTTCAGATCAGAATGATGCAAAGTCATGTGTGAAATATAAGACTGAATTCATACAAAGAAGAATCTTACATGCAAAAAATGCAGACCTTAGAATCTATGAGTGGGGTGATTGAAAAATATAAATGGTTAGAAACAGACAGCTAAAGAAAATTATCTTTCACAAAATTTTTACCAAATTAAAAGAAAATTAAGAATCAGATGAGGACGATTACATAATTGACTAATGCAATGAAAATCTGTGCAATTCAAACCAACAATATTTATAATTTCACCCCCACTTGTACTTAAACACTCATCAAATAACCATAGTCACTATACTTATAACATAATTTGTTTTTCTTTGACCATTTCACCTGAAGCATCATTAAATTTTCTTGAACAATTCTGTTTTGTTTTTTTAATGATGGTTGAAATAGAGCTCTAATTAGTAGCAGAACAATGGTTGGACATAACCTTTTCAAATTTCACATCTATAAAGCAGTCATTTAACTTTCATCACTGCTCCAGTTGCAATTGATGAGAACGGCCCAGGAGTGATGCCAGTTTTGTCACAGACATTTCAAAGGAGAACCGAAACGAAGTCATGGACAGGAGGCAGATGGGTGTAAAGTAAATAGAAAACTTGAATTATTAACGAAGGTGAGCAAATCAGTAGCGCTGCAATGCAGGTAATCCAGAAAAAGAAAAAATCCATAGAGTGCAAAAGCTTCACTGAACAGGACAGTGTCCAGAAAAACACAGAAGCCTATTTTCGCAAGGGGAGCACATAGATAAAGCTGTTCAGGTGTTCTGATGTGTGCAAATGTGAAGCATGAACAGAAGGACATCTGTAATGTTTTTTTTTTAATTTTCATCAAATAAAAACTTTAAAAAGCTAACAAGATAGAGAAACTCTGCATTTGTCAATTTAAAAACTGCATTGTTCAGATAAAATTTTATTAAAAATATGAGCAATGCTCATAAAAATAGCTAATTTAGATGTATTCATCCAAAACAGTGAGGCCCACTTTGTGGGGCTAACTGGTGTCTATATTTAGACATGTTGAAGCATCCTGGACCATATCCTGACAACAGATAACTTATAAGTAGGAAAAAGACAGTGAGACATGTATGCATTGTTGTGTCTTTCCATTATACTTCTTCTGTTGTATTTAGGCTTCAGATATTCCAAACTAGAACAATTAAATCCTTTTCGATTCTGTATTTTTTCTAACATTTACATCCCTATAATATTTGCTCAGCTACTTTAGTCTCAAAGAATGTCATTTTAGGAGTTTTGTTTTGCTGCTTCCTGAACACAACCCAATCCTGTAAAAAAAAATGAGCAAAGCTGTCCTTTTCCCAGATGTCTGGGAGGTGAGGCAACAGGGCTCTCCTTTGAAATGCTGGGGACATTGATATGGTTTGGCCCTCACCCCAAAGGGCGAGGCAGGAAAAAAGACTAAAGTTTCTTGATGTTTTGGTTACAAGAGCTCATCAGCGCTAGTAATTTCAGACTTGTTTTTACACTCTTGTTTTGTTCATCCTGTGGTTCTAGTAGAATTGGGGTCTTTGTATTGAATTGCATTACATGAAGCACATAACTTTAAACACAACTCTGCAATCGTTAAGACTGGCTGCCCAACGGTGGCTCACAACAGCGCAGATTATGAGGTTCCTGATCCCAGGTCCTCCATCAACTCAAATAAAAAAGTTATATTAACTTCAAAGTCTGACCTCAAAATCACCTCACTAGAAAAATGTAAAAAATACTAAAGAGTTTCTCTCACATACATTGATGGCAATGCCTGCACACACTTGTACACACACTAATCCACAAATCCCAAATACTGCCTAAGGACTCTACCTCCTCTTTGTTATCAAAGCAGTGTCTGTGAATCGTGCTCTCTTTCTGTCTCCCCCTACTTTGCCCCGCATGCCTCTCAGCGCACGCACACGCATCAATATGCTGGAGGTGTCACAGCAGGATTTAGGCACATAGGAAGGGCAGCTCAGATCTCTGTATTGATCCAAATGGGAAAAGGGTTGCAGGTTCAACTCCAGGTCACCCGAGGGGTTACCCGCGAGGTCGTGAAGATGAGGAAGAGTCTTTGCAAGTGACGACATCATTGGCATGGCAATGATAGAGGGAGATTATGGGATGTTTCACCAGGTCAAAGAGGGGAGAAGTAAAAGGAGATCTATTCAGGTCGGTGATTGGAAGTAGTGATTATGTTGCTCAGTATGTATACCGATGCGTTCAAACATGCACATATGATGTGTAGTAGGAAAGTTTGATGTACGTTCTTCCCACAACACACATACAGCAGACATGACAAACACTGTATATAGATAGTACTGTATAATTAGTCACATAAGTTTGAGTATTTTCCTCACATACTTTCTTGTGTACCAAAAAATCATCAGAATAAACATTTACTCACTCACCTACAGGACCAATTCAAAGTGCATATCCTTTACAGGGATATACCTCACACGGTGAATTTAACAAAATTACTAAATAGAGCCCCACTGTGGACTAATGCTGCTCAATTAGATCGTTTTTTGGATGAACACTTATCAACACATACTGAAATAGCTACTGCTCTATTATGTGATGCTTTTCTTCAGACTACAGATGCTCAGAACACATTTTAAGCTGTTGAATTTAACTACTCTCTTTAGCAGTTCAATTTGCTGCAGCCTGTCTCTCTGCTTCTGTTCCACCACCACTTTCAGCACGGTCTCACCTCTTTCCCTATTTGTTCTCTCGCTTTTCACCTCATTCTTCACTTTCATCATTAACATCCTACGTTCTGCTGGCTTAACTTCCACTCTAACACCTTATACCCTCTTTAACTCTGTATGCCCTGTGTCGTCATATTGAATAATAAAAAAAACATGTCTAAAAATATATTTTTAAAGATTAAGCGTCAACCTGTTACAAAATATCTTAAGAGTTGGATTGCTCTATAATGTTAAACTTGCAAATAAAGAATAAGTACAGAAAAATAAATCAATTACACCATTTTCCTTATTCTAAATTTAAAGGTCTCATGAAATAGACACAACTGATCTATAAATGTGTGGTCTATGGTCAGTTCACAGAAATGATTCTGAAGTTTTGTTCTCCACTACAAAAAGAAAAGGTTACTCTGTGGTCATGAACCTTTAATAACTTAGATGCAGAATGTATCTGTGTATCACTGAAGATGTTACTACACAAGAGACAATTCAGTAAAACAAACCCATTTTCACTTTTAGCCAATTAACTTCAAACATTTATGCTCTCTGGGGTGAGTGAAAAAACACTTAATGAGACAAAAAGAAGCATTTTTCTCCAAATCTAATGCTTTATTTTTTGAGAGGCAAAGAGAGAAGGATCCTGTTAAATACACTGACAGTTCTTCTAGCTCATGGCACTGGAAAAATTTCCACTGTTACAGATTCCTCAAATAACAGGAATAAATGGAGCTGAGAGACAGGGTGAGAAGTAGAAGGGGAGGTGAGCAGCATGCAGTGATGAAAGCACTTCAACAGGCAGATATATGCAAGGGAAGATAGGAGTTTTTTTTTTAAAGTATAATACTGTGGGGAAAAAAGTTTATTCAAACTTTAGTTGTCAAGTTTGCAACATGTATTTCCATAAAGAAAGCCACTGGTTTGGTCAAATTTATTCTACAATATATGACAACTTCAGCGTAAAAAATGAGTGACCATCAGATATCAGAAAGTATCCGTCTAGCTCTTTAAAAATAGAATCTACATACTGCACTCAGCATGTTACTTTAAAGGGTTTTATCCACAAAGTTGAGTTTTCTCTTGCTTTTGTCACAAACCAGTAACAATACATTATATATAAGCAATTCATATTCACCTAAATCATATTTTGATTTAAAACATATTTTAAGTGCACTTGCTGCTTAAATGCTGGTTAGTGGCATCATAATATTAGCATTCACCACTTCCTTGATGAGAAAAGGGGATAAATTCCCTGATTACACCACTGGTTTAAGATAGCATATGAAACATGTTGTGTGGTTTGTCTTTTGTTACCGGGTCAGTCTTCTTCTCTTGTATGTTCACCAAAACCAGAAACTCACAGATGTGATTTATTATATATAAAGAAACTCACTAAAATCAAGCGGAGTCAGATTAAGCTCTGGTTAGGTTTCATTGTAGGTATAAAATGGTTCAAGGAGAAGTGCCCTTGTCTCTGTCATTTGTGTGTGGTGGCAGCATTAAACAACATCATAAATAATATAATGTGTCTCTGCTTTATTCAACTTGGCAGGACGAATCTGACAAAAAGTGAAATGTGGTCTTGATCAGGAATATTCATCTTTCAGATAAATGTTGATATGTTGGAGATTACTCAATACAAAAACGTTAAAAAGCTATGATTCATTTCCACACAACTCAAGGTAGTGTTGCATCTTGTGTACACAGAGTTATGCTTTGTGCTGACCTTACCACACGTATTCCGAACTACTTCAAGAAAAAATCCAACAACACGTGATGTAAGATAATTAAGCATATGATGGTCAATTTCGCTTAACAACTTAGTCTTGTAAAATAGGAATGTGGTTGAATGTGTGAAATATAATGAAAACCACATTTTTACCTGATAAGCGGCAGGTCCAAGGTTGCTGCGCTTGGCCTGTTTGAATCGATCTTCTGTGGAGGAGATCAGGGTCATCTTGGAGAAGGATTTCACGCTGGGGTTGTACTGGTTGGGGCCTGTTAAACAAAGACATTCAAATGATTCAGGATTAATAAAGTAGTGAAATATATACAGAGGGTGACAGATTGTAAATGGAAAGGTTGCTAATGAGGTCAGAACTCCATTCCTTCATTACTGATACTGTTTCACGCCTTAAATTTTTCAACAGCAAGTTGAAAAAGTGCCTTTCTCACACATATAGCAACAAGTCCACAGAAAAACAAAGTATTTGCCATAGCTGAAACAAAGTCTGCAGTTTGCAGTCAAAATGCCTCTGCGTTTTTTTCTCAGTAAATCTCAGTCAAATGTTTTGTATTGAACAATGTTGCACTAATGTAGTATTATGCCAAATGGTACATTTTGTTTTTGGACATCTGGCTGTAATACATAGCAAAGCATTACACTGCTTGTATTTTTGCTTTCTGATGCAGTTTGTAGACTGTACAGAGACCTGTAAAGCTGTCCTGGTGTTGTTTTTGACTTGGTCTCACCTTTCATTGGAATTGACTTAGCCTCAACTAATCCAAATCTTTCCTTTTATTATTCCTGTATCATTATTATAAATGTAGGTCTTGCTCATTTTTGGCATCTTCATCTTAGGTCTATAAAGACATATCAGCACACTGCTGGGGCACCTTTTGTTCTTTGGAGTTGTATAGAAAAATAAATAGATAACAAAAAGATAAATACTTTAGTCATCCCCTCATTGGGGATGATTCAGAATTGATATTGTAATTCTTAGTGTGCTTAATGAACCCAGTTATGATTAAAGCATAGGCAGTTGGAATAAAAGCCCTTGAGTCCTGCACTCAGACGTGGCTTTCAGTCGGCCCTGTACAACTGGTGTGAACAACATGAACTATAAGGTGCTTCCAGAGGCAGGTGTTAAGAAGAATCTCTTTAAAAATAAAATAAAAACCTAGCACGAAAACACATTCACGGTTTATTTGGTTAAAGAAAAAAAAACGCTAATAAAACCATTTTCAATTTGTCCGAGTCCACATTCACCCTGGACTCAGACAATATGTTAAAATGAAAAAGCTAAGCCCCAGGGGTTTATCCATGACGTGAGTGCCTCCATAAGCCATTTTCATTTAAAATCCCACTGCTAACTGCAACTTTTCAGGAACAATTTTTGGAATGGTTTTAGGGCACCAAGGGCTATGGATCATGTTCAGAACATTTAGAATTACAATAATGAAAAGAAGAAGAGAAATCGACATCGGTCCAACACAGTTTAAGGAAAAGACAGCAGTAGGTGCTTTTCTTAACAGACAAAAACTAATTGCAACCACTTATGACCACAAAAACAGTGGTGCTTTTTAAAACTACATAAACAATAATGTGGCAAAACTAAAGAAAAGCCATACATCTAAAAATCTTAAGAGGCTGGCAGTGTCAAAAGACCATTATGTGTCACGTAGCCATTCATTGTGTGTGTGCGTGCCTAAGAAAATAGCACATCGTTGAATGCTCTTACCATTATCAGAAATGGGATTGCATGAGACTCAGCATGATGAAGAATTTAATGGTTCTTAATGTTCTATATTTTTCAGACCTATTCATAAATGTATATTGAATAACAGACAAAAAAAGGTTTGTGTGTTCTGTGTGTGTGAAAGACCATATGCTAGTGTGTGCTTATCTGCCACCATGTGAGGCAGAATAAGTGTGTCCCCGTTTGTGCTAGTGTGTGAAAAGAACACTTCTGCAAAGAGTCCAAATCTATTTATATGCAAATTGTATTTTGCTTAAACAGTTAGGGGTGCCTTGTGGGTTGAGTCCCTTGATGAAACAGGACTGATCATAAATTATCCAAATAAGTAATGAATCTATCAATTGTGAAAACATTTTTCAGTGGAACTGTAAGTGAAGTAAATATTAGGTTAGAGGACCACAAAAAAGGTGCTTACTGGACTGTATGATGGCGAAATGTTTGGCTTGTGCAGTCTTCAAATGCTCAGCAATGAACAGAAGTCTCTCTGTGTGATGTTTTTCAGTGTGAGTCTGTGTGTGTGTGCTAATGTCATGATGGAGAGCAGAAACTAACATAATAGCAACTGAATGGGACACAAGGACAACAATTCCCCATAGATTCAAAGTGATTTTTGAGGATATTGTCCGAGGTAAAAATTTAGATTGAGGTTACACATAACGTGTGATGGTTAATGGTTATGGAACAAAAGGCAACAAACGTGTGGGTGTGTGTGAGTGTGAGAGACACCTGGTATACTGGGGTCACATCGTAGGAAACTAGCTCGAGGTGCAGCAGAAAGGAAGCAGCCCTGTCGTTTCCTCGCTCCTTCACTTCGGGGCTCTGAGTAAGAGATGCGATTAACCTTCTCAAATGACTGACTCACGTTGTATCTGTTGGG